GGGGCACCTGGGTGATTCAGTCATTAAAGCGTCTGTCTTCAGCTCAGGTCATGATCCCAGGGTTCTGGGATCGAGCCCCGCATCAGGCTCCCTGCTCAGCGGGAAGCCTGCTTCTCCCTCTCCCACTCCCCTCTGCTTGTGTTCCCTCTCTCGCTGTGTCTCTCTCTGTCAAATAAATAAATAAAATCTTTAAAAAAAAAAAAGACCAAAACCAAACTCTGTATAGTAATCCCATTGGCTATGTCTGGTCTGGGAGTGGCCAGCTATGACCCCTAATCTTACCTCATCCATTTTTTTTTCCAAGTGAGCAAACAGGTACCAAAAGTCATGAAGCAAGTGTGTAAGATAATGAAAGGTGTAAATGTGTGCATATATATCAAAACACGCCATTTTTAATGAAAGAAATTAATATCACACATTTGTACTTCTGTACAATTTTGGGTAATATATAATTTTAAGCTGTTTACAAATAACATGTAATGCTTCAAATATTACATAATGTTGATAATACATTTCTAGCAGAAATAAATATATTGCACTTAAAAAGAACTTCATTAGATGTTACTTCATAGTATTAGGCTTATAACTTCTTTTTCATAAAACATTTCCCATGCCCTTCCCCCCACCCCCAACACACACACTTCATTACAGTGACTGTTCTCACGCAATTCATTAAGCAAATGAACACAGCAAACAATAGAACTGTGATAGAGTCTACTAAAGAGGCTATATCCAAAATCATCCTTTAGGAAATAAAAGACATTCTTTTAGGTTTCTGAAAATAAGGAAAAAACTGAATACATATTTTAATGTATCAGAAGTAAAATACAACAAATTGTATTTTTTGTCCAGATGTATTATTTTACCAATGTTTTTATTTTCTTATTATCAGGGGAGAGGATTAGAATTGAGGGAGGGACAGAGAAAGAAGGGCCAGAAAATACTTATGGATTATTTGCCTATCAAATATTTATAAATGAACCTTTGCATATTTAAGCATGCTGAAGAAAGATAAATATTAGAATATTTTATAATTGGCATGGAATATTAGTGAAGAAATTATTTTACGGTTTTCTAAAGGTTTAAGAATTTTTAACCTTCCTTTTGCTTGTTTACATAAAATGCTTGCATTCTAAAATAATATAAAAACATGTAAAATCCATTCCTCCATCCAAGCTGTCTAAAGGAGCCAGCTGAAAATCTTTTCTGTCCAGTGCTTTCTTTGGGTATAATATTGTTTTGTTGTAATAATTATCAATTCCATACATGTTTAATAATGTAAATAGTTTCCTTACTCAATGGAAGACTGAGTTAAAATATTGTTTTTCTTGTAATATGTGACCCTGCATATTACATAACTGAGCTTTTTGAACTTTAGTTACTGAGTCATGGCTAAGCTAGGCTGCATATTTAATGGGGTGATAAAGTCATTCTATCCATTTTATTTGAAGCTCATTTTTCTCAATATAATTCAGCTTAAATATTAGCAAGACAGCCTGAAAAGCCATGAAATTTAGAAATGGGTTAAATATCCTAACATCTCTCTGAAAAATTCATAGGCAGTATGGGAATGGGGAATCCTTTTCTTCTAAAAATACTTTTAAGGAGGGCATGTATTGCAAGGAGCACTGGGTGTTATACACAAACAATAAATCATGGAACACTACATCAAAAACTAATGAAGTACTGTATGGTGACTAACATAACATAATAAAAAAAAATAAAATAAAAGTAAAAATACTTTTTTCTTGGGCTTTTGGAGGGCGTCCTTTTTCTTTTTTTTGCGTGGGAGGCTGGGGATGTTGTGGCTGGAGAAGTGTTATAACAGAGATGTGGATGAGAGTGAGGGAGGGAAGATCTTGGAATACCCCAGAAGTTAATGTAACTCCTATAGTAGAGCTCTACACAGGGTTTTTCTTAGTATCTTTCTAATACCTCCCATTCTGTGCCCATCTACTAGGAAGAACAACAAACCTTTGTTACAAACTCAAAAGGACCAGCAGTGCAACCTAAATTCATTAATATAGAACTTGTAACCTAATAATTTGTGATATATTAGACACAAGATGGATATACTTTACCTATATAATATTGCTAAGAGTGGACAGAGGAGGGGCAAGACTTGAAAAAGAAGTAAAAGAAATAACTGAACATTATTGATAAATGTTTTAAAAACAAATCAGGTCTGCAGAACCTACTAAGATATGAATTAATCCCTTCAGGTTAGATAAAGCAGTTCTGAAAGGGCCTCTTTTTAGCAGCACTGCACATTAGCCATGTATTTTGATACTGTAATATACCTTGGGGGGGGGAACCCGGAATTTATTCCAAATATACTGTAACTCATGCTCTTAATTATTCAATTGGCTTTTCCACTAACTATCTAGTTCTAATAATTACTTTTGGTAGGAAAGACTTTAGACTTTAAAATCTTAAATGCCCAAAGAGTTAAAGAATCAACAACCAGAATAGCTCAGAAAGACCCAGGCTGGAGTAAATTTCTACCCTTGGTTCTCATGGCTAGGGTGACTTTGATCAAGTTAAGCTCCATGTACCCTGTGCTTTTTATTTCTGGTTAAAATAATGCCAAATATTTCAAGAATATATCCAATTTAGAATTTCAGGTGTTATTTCTGAAGAGCATGCTTTGGTATCTTAGTCTTTGCTTTTCTCTAAGCACTCTACTTATTTTTAGCCTTATTCTGCTTAATTACAAAATCAAGTTATGAAGTCAGGAAATACTGGTGTAAAACCATATTTAACAAAAACATAAAACACCTACTTTAAGACACATCAACTGGGAAAAATGTCTAAATAGTATTAAAATGATCCTTTCATTCTCATTGAAAAGAAAATTCAGAAACAGATTCACTTTAGTAGACCAGTAATTTACCAGAGTATCAAGTAGCATCATGTTAAATAGCATTTAGTTTTGTTATTCCTGCCCTAAGCAGCAGTACTGTGTATTAAAAGGAGTACTGGCAACAGGCCAACTATTAAGTATCAAATCCCTATCCTAAGCTCTATGGATACTAAAACATTAGTCATAGCTGCTTTTTTAAGAAACGCATTATTTATGCTGTGTTTGAAAACAAACTACCTGTGGATACTGTAGCATAACATGCAAGAAGTTAGAAATTAGCCTGCGGTGTCTGCCGTAGGACTCTGAGATGCTCGGTTGGCACAGCCCACGCTTCTCCATAAGTAAACTATGGGGCCACAGTGGAGAAAAACCATTGCAAAGTCCAGCAACAATGGCATCACATAGACAGGCCCTGCCATTATGCCTCGTCTCCTAGACTAGAAATGCCCCGGAGAAGCATTTGGTATGGGAAAGCCTAATAGAACAACCAAATAAAATTCCATGCGGTCTGATGTGATCAGTATATTGCATTTACTCCCATCTCTACTCTCAGCAGTGATATGTCCCATCTCTTTTAACAGATTCAGTACTTTTACAATCAGAACAAAGTAGATACAAAATCTAAATTAGGTTAAAATAGAGTTTTGGGGAACACTGTAAAGAAGACAGGTTACATCTCATAGCAATCTAAAGTTGAAGGACTGTAAACTTTACTAAATTTCCGTTGTTAGGGAAACGAACTGTTGCAAAATGCCAAATATACTACCCTGACTGTAAATGCTTAGATATATGTTGCCCCCCAAATATAATGACTATATATAGCTAAAATATAATTAATTACTAAACACTAAAGGAAGGCTTAAGAAGACAGTAAGAATGCAAAATAAAGAGGATAAATGTTTTACATTGATTTACAAGCACTGCCAGTGTTTTAGTCAGGGGGTCATTGAGTTGACATACAATTTCATATAATGGACTAGGAAAATGGTAAAGGAGTCACTGAATGGAACAGTAAGAAAGAAGGACAAACCAGATATATGGACACACAACTTGTAAGCATAGGTTAAATGGTGGCTATATGGGCATTCAGAATGATCATTCACAAATCCTTGTCAATCAGTGGTTAACAGCTAATCTAATAACAAAGCAGATTTACCAAAAATGAGAATTTGGCCCAGTCCATTTTACCATCCAAAAGATCTCCCAAAGCTGAAGTAAAAATGAAGGGGCCTTTGGTACCCATGGCAGAGAAATTCCCTTCAGAACAGGGCAACCGTTCTGTTATTGCAGACTGAGAGGAAGTCTCATGTGTCATCGCATAGAGGCTTTAGAAGTGTTCCTCCATGAGGAAGTCAGTAGTGCACTTAGAATGCAGCCCAGAAAAATAAAACCTCAGTTTTACAATGTAACACATAGAGCCTCTTGCTTCAAAATTGTGTATAGAAGGTTTTTCCTACATAAATGGCAAGTAACTGCAAGAAAGAGAATTAGGAAGAAAGAAGCCAAGACTGGGAAAAAGAGCTTGTCAGGTACTGGCCCTTCACTATGACAAAAAGAGCTTCGTGAAGTCATTACCGCCTATTCATCCACAAAACAGGATGCTTCAGCACTATCTCAGCCCCTTCCCAAGCAAACTAATACAAAGGAAAACTAAACATGCTTAAGCTACAACACTACAAATATTTCTCTATTGGCTCTCTCTACAGGGAGAAATGGACTTAAGTTAGTCATTATGCATTATGGTTGGTATGTTATATATATTGCCTCTTTGAAGATTCTTTTGACCTGTGGAAAGCAGAAAGAACACCTCTACACATTGATTTTATACATTACTGCATTGACACAGCATTTTTAACTGCTAGGTATAATGCACCTTAAAATTCATCTGCCTTGTGTTATGAAATTTCCTGGGTAAGTTAGTATACCATTGGTTGCAGGATTTAGGCTGGCTAAGTCTATACTGATTCTCTCTCGAACCCAAGAGCTGTTCCCAAACTACACATGGCTCCTGGTCTGTGGTGCACTCCCTCAGCAGTAGGTTTTACTGTGAGTCCAGCTCTCCTCTTTAATAGGTCCCATGTCTCCTGGAGAGCTCCTGCTCTAACACCCCACATCCCACCCACCCAACCCTGTCCCATATTTCCATACCCATTTGCACATTCTGGATCTGGATTCTCCAAGGTTTAGAAGAGTCATACAAACGGTGTCATCACCGCAGAGGAATGGCGCAGTCCTTGGATAGCAGCATAGGGCCCCTGCTGAAAGTAGTGATGGTACCGGGGCATGTGGAATGAGGGGAATGTCGGGCCACTCCCCTGCATCGAGCTGGCAATAGCTGATGGTGTCAGAGGCATCCCGAGTCGGCTGTATGGTGGCAATGAACCTTGTATAGGATGAGGAATGGGTGTTGCTATGGATGCTGTGCTGGTGCCAAGTGCAGTCAGGGACTGGGGGTGCTGAAATCCAGGAAAACTGGATGAAGATGATACCCAGGAGCTGAGAGACAAATTATCAGACGTTGTAAAGGCTGACCCTGAAAGGAAAAACAACTCATTAGACTAGAAACTCTTTCAGTGTGCGAATCAAGAATTACATTATCTGTAAGGATTGACTTATTTTTTAAAAAATAAAATAGATCTGCAATTTAAAAAGGCAAGCATGTCAACCATGAGTCACAGCTACCTTTCCAGGTAAGATATCATCTCTACCATATATGGAAGAGAGACTTTACCAAACAGAAAAAGACTTAACTCATTAGATGGCCTACATACTCCCAGAGAATGGCCAAAACACTAGAACTCTGCCTGGAAGTAATAACTGGATTCCCTTTAAAAGAGCTCCAGATAGCTGGTATCTGTCCTGACCTCTACAACATCCTTATAAGGAAGGCTGGACATATGAGCCTCAACAAAGTTACTGGGTTTCTAAAGGCTTTGTGAAAACCCACAAGCATGTTTTTCTTTTTCTAGATTCCATAATTCCTTATTAAATAGTTGACAAGTTACAAGCGTAAGTTTTTCTTATATCACAGCATCCGCAAGTTTAAACAAAAGGTGACACTGAATTTTCCAACTGTATAATTAATTACTAGTAGTCCATTTGGATTTAGTTCGAAGAGATGTCCTATATTTTGACAGATTATGCTATTCCATATAAAAGACATAAAATTACGACAGAGGGCTCTTTCCCCACACAAACATCCCTGTGCCCAGGTTTAGGCACCCTCTGGACTCCCAAGTGCAAAGTGCTCCTCTGTGAGTCTTTGGGACAGAGGAATTTTTCAGTATCCCCCTACTGTCACCGCTGGGGCCACTGCCTGTACATAATGCCCTTCACTAAGAAAATCTTCTTTTAAAAAGTGTTTTCCAGGGCGCCTGAAGGGTTAAATAGGTTAAGCATCTGCCTTCGGTTCAGGTCATGATCACAGAGTCCTGGTTTGAGCCCCATGTTGGGCTCCCTGCTCAGTGGGGAGTTTGCTTCTCCCTCTCCCTCTGTCCCTCCCCACCCCACCCCCGCTCATGTGTGTGAACATGCTCTCAAAATCTTTTAAAAAGTAAAGTCATTTTAGTCATCGATCCTAATAAGATATTTCTAGAATATCTTATAAGAGGAACAGATATAGTCTCTGATTTTCAGATTATAAAATTAGGGTTCAGAAAGACTAAAGGACTGCCCCCAGAGTCCAATAGGTCTTTGGTGGTAGATCACGGACAAGTAACTCCTGAGCCCTGACTCAGAGGCTTGATGTCCTTTCACTAGAAAACCACAGGAAACCATCAGGCAGAACAATCACTTAAGACTCAGAAGCAAAATAATGAACTGTATGAAAATCAGCCTCAGGGGCTATCCTTTCCTCAAGAGACTCCTGAAAGACTCTGGGGGCAGACTGCACCCTGAGGACTACAAGTTTCATCACCTACCTTTCTTTCTCGTTCTGGGTGCTCTTGCTCCCAGCAGTTACATAGCCCGGAAGCTGTCTTACCTCGATTCTGTGTTGTCTGAACCTCATCCCCCAGCACATCCTCTTCTCCTCCATAGGTACGGATGGGTGAGCGGGCATAGGAATGCTTCTGGATCAGGCTCTCCACACTTTCCCTAGGTTAGAGAAGCACACATCCTGAATAAACTAAAAAGTACTCGGAGATGGAGATGGGTCTGAAAGATAATTTATTACTCAGTAAAACCATTTTCTCAGCCAAAGACCCCCACTTCAGGGAAAGATGACATTCAAAACATGTACATTTATGCCGCTATAGACCCCTCAGAAACATGACCTCAGGCATGCAAATACAAGCAAACATAACTGGATAGGATAGGGACGATCCCCAGAAATCCTACAACATGGACGGCAAAGAGGTGAACAGGAGCTGGGAAACCAGACTATAGGAATGTAGAATTTAATGATTTGAAAAATGAGTGAGTGAAAATCCTGAGGAGCTGCAATGACTCTTCTGACTTCATCAGCTAATGAATATAAAACAAATACTTGACTGATACGAACTGCACTTACTCAACATCTGATGAAATGCTGGCCAGAAGTTCAGAATATCATTAGTCATAAAAAGACTCAACGTTTACTAGTAAACCTAGTAAGTGCACAGAGTATATGACAATATGGGTAGTTTGGATAATGTACACTTTGAGATTCCTGTTGCATTAAGACTGAAAATTATAGAAAACCTGTGAAGGTCACATAAAATGGCCATTAGGAAATTGAGGCCCCCAAATAAATTGGTTCCTTGACTTTGAAGGTAGTCTTCCTGTTGAAACATACTCTGACAACTAAAGAATGCAGTTAACTTTAAAAACAAGAATTACTGGGGTGCCTGGGTGGCTTAGTCATTGAGTGTCTGCCTTTGGCTCAGGTCATGATCCCAGGGTACTGGGATGGAGACCCGCATCAGGCTCTCTGCTCTGCGGGAAGCCTGCTTCTCCCTCTCCCACTCCCCCTGCTTGTGTTCTCTCTCTCTCGCTGTCTCTCTCTCTCTGTCAAAAAATAAATAAAATCTTAAAAAAAAAAATTATTTTGGTATTGGCCCATTTGACCAGCTGCTGTTTAAAAAAATAAAAAAAGCCAGCAAGAGTTTAGCCAAAGAATTCTTTGCCAAAAATGCAAGTTGATAGCAGGTTGGTTTTACACAGTATACATCTCTAGAATAGCTGTGGCCTAACAATTAATACTGAATTAACCACCAAAGGATAAAAAAAGAATTAATCTAAAAAACTGTGTGTTGAATGAAGAACAAATCAAACACCAAATTTCACATTGAAGGGACAAGGAAAGCAAAATGTCACAATAGCTTTTCAAAATGTAACACTTGTCAACATTTCACATAGATATACAGACTTTACTGTTGAAAAAAATACTAACTTATAGTGAATCTGGCCTTCTAGAAAACTTGTATACTCACAGAAATGAAAGCATTTTGTCATAATTATGTAGCTTGCAAGTGAGGACTTAAGAGTAAACTTAAAAGAAAAATTAGTTATAGAAACAATTCAAGTTACATCTCCATTCCAAGGGAGTTTTAAAATAAGCATAGAGTACCAACTTCCTGTGGCCAAAATGATCAGGATCCATATCCAATAGATTAACATACAGCTAGTTTAAAAAGTGAAACCATTCCATACTCACTGATATGGAAAGAACTCTAAGATATAGTAAGTGAAAAAAGTACAGAAGATATATATAGGTATAAAGTGCTACCATTTGTGGATTTAAAACAAGGAATATATATGTTTGTATATGCATAATATTTCTGGAATGTTCCAGTTTCATTACAGGAAACTGCCTAGAATAGGTCATCTCTGTACGGTGGAACCAGGATTTAAGGGACTGGAGCAATGATTCCCAACTTTGTCTTGACTCTCAAATTTGTCCCAAATCCACTTGAGTCGCCTGGGGCTCTTAACGAAGAAAAACTAAATTGAGGTATAATTAATATACAACAAATGGTACATATTTAAAGTGTACAATTTGACAAGTTGGGGCTTATGTGACCAGTGACACCACCACAAGTGAGATAAGAAACATACCTACCACTGACAAAGGCTTCCTCATGCTTCCTGGTCCCCACCCCAACAAGTCTGACCAAGGAAGTCACTAATATGATTTCTGTTCCTACAGATCAGTTTGCATTTTCTAAAATTATACAAAAATGAAATCATATCTTATGTTTTCTTTCTCTCATGTTTTCTTTTTTAATCTGGCTTCTTTCCACTTAGCATAATTACTTTGAGATCCATCATGTTGGAGCATATATCAAATAGTTAAGTCTTACTCTGAGTAGCATTGTTGTCCAAATTATAGTATGTACTATAGGTACTATAGTTTACCTATTCACCTGTTGACCAACATTTGCCTTGTTTCTAATTTCTGTTACACCGGAAGCTGCTACCCATATTCAGGTATACTTTTTTTTTAAATGGACATATGCTTTCACATCTCTTGTTTTCTTTGCAGAAAGGTTTTAGTTACAAATTCAAAACTATCATCAGATTGTCTGTTTCTTCTTGAATGGATTTTGGTAGTTTGTGTCTGTCTTCAAGGAATTTGTCCATTTCATCTAAATTGTTGAAATTATAAGCTAAGCATTCATAATACTGCTTTATTATGCTTCCTTTCAGTATCTGTAGAATATGTAGTGATATTACTCCTCTTATTCCTGGCTATGGTAATTTGTGTCTTCTCCCCTTTTTTCCCAATCAGTTTGGGTAGGGGATTGTCAATCTTATTAATCTTCTTTGCTTTTGGTCCCACTTTTCTCTATTATTTTCCTGTTTTCTATTCCACCTATTTCCATTCTGATGTTTATTATTTCCTTTCTTCCACTTACTTTGGGTTCAGTTTGTTCTTGAGATGAAGCTGAAGTCATTGATTTGAGATCTTTGTTCACTTCTAAAGTAGGAATGTAGGGGTGCCTGGGTGGCTCAGTCAGTTAAGCGTCCGACTCTTGATTTCAGATCAGGTCATGATCTCAGTGTTGTGGGATCAAGTCCTGCATTGGGCTCCACACTCGGTGGGGAGTCTGCTTAAGATTCTCCCTCTCCCTCTGCCCCTCCCCCTGCTCACTCTCTCTCTCAAATAAATAAATATTTAAAAAAATAAAAATAAAGTGGGAATGTAGCCTATAAATTTCCTCTACGTTTTAGCAGCATCCTATAAGTTTTAAGTTTTTATGGGCTGTATTTTCAATTTCATTCAGTTCAAGATATTTTCTAATTTCCTTTTTGATATCTCCCATGACCCTTGGGTTATTCAGACATGTTATTTATTTTCCAAATGTTTGGGAATTTTCCAGTTATCTTCCTGTTACTACTGCTTTCCAACATAATTCCATTGTGGTCAGAGAACATACTTTGTATGACTTGAATGCCTTTAAATTTATTGGGACCTGTTTTTTGGCACAGGGTATGGTCTATCTTAGCAAATGTTCTGTGTGCACTTGAGAAGAAAGTATATTCTGCTGATGTAGGACAGAGCATTTTATAAATGTCAATTGGGTGAAGTTGGTTAACAGAGTTGCTTAAATTTTCTATATCTTTACTCATTTTCTGTCTACTTGTTCTATCAGTTTTTAAGAGAGGAATAGTGAAATCTCCAACTATAATTGTTTATTTTTCTATTTCTCCTTATAGTTCTGTCAGTTTTGCTTCATGTACTGTACTTTGAAGGTCTATTAGGCACATAAATATGTAGGACTGTATGTTCTCCTGATGAATTAAACCCTTTACAGGCATACCTCAGAGACATTGTGGATTCAGTTCCAGGCCACCAAAGTAACATGAATATTGCAATAAAGCAAGTCAAATGAATTTTTTGGTTTCCTGGTGCATATGAAAGTTATGTTTACACTACACTGTAGTCTATTAAGCGTACAATAGTATTATGTCTAAATAAAACAATGTATATACCTTAATTAAAAAATACTTCATTGTTAAAAAATGCTAACCCCATCTGAGCTTTCAGCAAGTGGTAATCTTTTTGCTGGTAGGAGGGTCTTGCCTCATTGATGGCTGCTGACTAATCAGGGTGGTGGTGCTGAAGGCTGGGATGACTGACAATTTCTTAAAATAAGACAACAATGAAGTTTGCCACATAGATTGACTCTTCCTTTCACAAATGATTTCTCTGGGGCGTGTGATGCTATTTGATAGCATTTTACCCACAGTAGAACTTATTTCAAAACTGGAATCAATACTCTCAAACCATGACTGCTGCTTTATCAAGTAAGTTGATGGAATATTCTAAATCCTTTGTTGTCATTTCAACAATCTTCACAGCATCTTCAACAGGAGTAGATTCCACCTCAAGAAACCACTTTTCTTTGATCATCCATAAGTAGCACCTCCTCATCCATTAAAGTTTTATCATGAGCTCACAGCAATTCAATCACATCTTCAGGCTCCACTTCTAATACTAGTTCTCTTGCAATTTCTGCCACATTTGCAGTTACGTCCTCCACTGAAGTCTTGAATCTTCAATTTGTAAAAAATGCAGTAACTACAAATCACAATAAAGTGATGTGCAATATAATGCAGTATGCCTGCATCAGTATGAAATGATCTACTTTATCCATGGTAAGTTCTTTGCTCTGAAATCTGTGATATTAATACAGCTATTCCAGTTTTTCTTTTGACTAGTGTAAATATGGTATATTTTCCCCATTGCTTTACTTTGAACCTGCTGCCTTTAGATATAAAGTGCATTTCTCATAAGGCAGCACATATTCGGATTGTGCTTTTTAATCCAAACTGACAATCTCTCCCCTTTAACTGGGGTATTTAGTGCATATATATTTAATGTGATTATTAATATGGCCAGGTTGAAGTCTATCATTCCTATATTTGCTTCTTACCTTCTCATCTGCTATTTGCCTTTTTCTTTTTTTTGCCTTCTTTTAGGTTGTTTTATTATTTCATTTCATCTCCTTTGTTGGTTTATTGGCTATAACTTACTCTTGTTATTTTAGTGGTTGATTTAGTATTATAGTAAATATTTTTAACTTACTACAATTTACTAGGCAAATGATAAGATATTACTTCAAGTATACTTAAGACTTATAATAATATATTTCCATTTCTCCCTTCCATCC